TCCCTATACTCATCTTGAAATTTTTTCCTGATTTTTCTGTTATTGTAAGCTTCCACTTAAACTCTTGGTTAGATGGTCGAATCGAATACCGAAAAAGGGGTGAAAGTCAGCCCTTTTTTTGGGAGTCTCTTTAATTAATATTACAAATATGTTGCATATAAAACGTTTCAAATGTATGAGTTACAGATTTGGCAAAGACAAGTGCTTCATTGGTCCCTTGAAATTTTATGATTTCAAGAATAAAGAAATTGAAGGGTCCAAGAGATTCAGCCTCTATTCTTGTATGAGCACGCACCACGTAAAAGCTCTTACAGTATATCGATGGTGAAAGTGCAGAAGTGCTTAGCTCGGAAAACACGATTTTCCAAGATAATAAAAAAACAGTCTACATTCCTCTATATTGTTGGTAGGAGGGCGATATACCTTGAAGATAGCAAGTCTGGTGCTTTTTCAGACTCCATCAGCATTTTGAATATGTAATTTTACAGTTCAACGTCGAAAGCTCATTTTATCCGTACGAAACTTATGGAATTCACAACCGTTTTTGAGAACGTTGCGATTTTGTAAACGGCGACTCTCTTAAATTTGCATGAAAATACGATGATCAAAGCGAGAAGACATGAGAGCCACAACCCGAACCGAGCCTTTGGACTCTTTTTTTTTTAAATAAGATTAACACTTAAATAGCATCTCATAACGTAAGTAATGTTCTTCGGGCATTTTTCGAAATTACGGCTCTATTTAAGACTCCACAATTCTGAACATTTTTGGTCCGCATAGTTGTACAGGGCCACTCAGATACGATACGGAAGAGCGCCTTCAACCCACTATGTAATCTTAATGCGAAATTCAGATACCACTATTCGCGCATCACGACAGTCATTTTGCATACCCGGCCAATTGAAGGCAAATCATTGGCCGAGTCAACAGGGTACGAATTTCACCGACGTGATACGTGATTTTTCGAAGAAAAACCTTTGGGGGTGCCAAACCTGGCATCCATTAAGCCTAGCCTCCGGGGCTGTCCTACCTTACACCAGGAAACCCAACCCGCCATGGGCTGCCCCCATTGGTATCTAAGGAGCCCAACCCCCCCCCCCCAGGGGTGCCCCCCTTGACTTCCAAGTAACCGAACCCTCAGAGGCTGCCCCGACTGCCCTCCAAAAGCAAAACCCTCAGGAACTACCCCACTTAGCAACGAAGAAGACCAACCCCGCCAGGGGTTACCCCCTTTCGCGTTCAAGGAGCCCAACCTCCAGGGGTTGCTCCACCTGACTTCCAAAGAACCCAGCCCGCAGAGGCTGCCCCACTTGACCTCCAAAAAGCCCAACCTCCAGGAGCTGCCCCAGTTGGCAACCAAGAGGACCAACCCCACGGGGGCCACCCCACCTGAGCTCCAAGGAGCCCAACCAAAGAACAACAACAAACAACAGTCTATCTTGCAATATCAGCCCATTATGGATCAGATGAGCAGATAATCAAATCTAAGTTTAGAATGGTGTCTTTTACTTTGGACGCAGTTATGTATCTGTCGCAGGCAATTAGCAATCGCCGGCAATTTACAAGCCGGTGGTTAATAAATATAGAAAATCATAAAATTTAAAAATAAAATGACAAGATTAGAGTGCTGATTATGTTGCCTGTAATGTGAACAGACACTTTTTCATCCTTAAAAACATGACAGGAATATGCACACTTAGCAGAGCGTGTAGTGAACTCTGTGACATTATAGTTGGGTTGAGATCGGACAGGCAACTAAACTAACTTCGTGACAAAGCGTACAGTATCACAAAAAATGAAGGCGCTTCAAGCAGAGCGCATACTTTTGAAGACCACAACCCTTAAAAATTGCATTATGCCGATGCGCATCCTTGCGATTTATTGAAACAAAGTGTGAACCGCTTGCAAATTGCCGGCGATTGCGAATTGCCTGCGACATATCAATGTTCTATGATAAAGTTGGTTGAAAATTTTACCTCGCCCGTGTAATCTTTTACGACACCCTTATACACGTCCGTCCCGTTGGGCTCATTGATCAGCTCCCCAGGCCTAGGATTCCTATTTGAGAGACATAGAAATAGTAAAGTAATAGAGGATGTAAAACGCACAGATAGCTAAATTCCAGCCACAAGTTACGCGTTATTTCAAGGTTAGGTTAAATCTCAGGTCATTCTTTGTAATTATTTTACCCGAGCGAGTGGTGAGGATTTTACTTTTTACACTAGTTGAGTTGCAGGATTTGAAAGTTGTAAATTACATTATTAAACTCCTTAAAACTAGACTTGTCTTGTCTTTATAGTTAACGGAATTATGCTGTAAAAGCTTCCGAAAGGAACTGCTGAAGTCCAGAAATTTAAATAAATGTCTTGATGATCATTTCAGAGGAAATGCGATAAATAAAGTAGAGGTATAAGGATAATAGAGGTTCAAAAATAATTACATTAATTAAAAACTTACCTTCCATCGTTCGCCACATCATCGTAGAACATCGTTATTATTCGATCCTTGGGCATGTTGAATTTATTCACCAGAGTTTTGTAAGCGTGACAAATGTTCGCCTGTTTAAAAAATTCAAAATGTGAAATTCATACGCAAAGAAAAATTGCTTTGCGCGCAAGGAGAGAGTTTGAACGTCGCAGCTGAACGTTATGTCTGCGATTTCCCGCTGACGATCGGTATGAAAACTAACGCAACGAAAAAAAAATGACGTTAATTTTTGAGCAGTTGCTACTTTATAGACAATCCTCATATTTTGTAAATGGAGGGCGATTTTTTATAGCGGATTCATCCGGTTTTTAAATTCGTAGAACTTTGAAGAAAATTCAAAGTATTTGGTCGTAAGTGCTTCCACCAGTAATAATACGAAACGTAGCAAGCAATCATCGGCCAAACAAACCGAACAGTGCCGATGCGTCAATGATCNTAGGTCTGTTTGGTAGAAATACGTCCAATTGAGAGACATAGAAATAGTAAAGTAATAGAGGGTGTAAAACGCACAGATAGCTAAATTCCAGCCTCAAGTTACGCGTTATTTCAAGATTAGGTTAAATCTCAGCTCATCCTTCGTAATCATCCTACCCGAGCGAGTGGTGAGGATTTTACTTTTTACACTAGTTGAGTTGCAGGATTTGGAAGTTGTAAATTACATTTTTAAACTCCTTAAAACCAGACTTGTCTTGTCTTAATAATTAACGGAATAATGTTGTAAAAGCTTCCGAAAGGAACTGCTGAAGCCCAGAAATTTAAATAAATGTCTTAATGATCATTTCAGAGGAAATGCGATAAATAAAGTAGAGGTATAAGGATAATTGAGGTTCAACAATAATTACATTAATTAAAAACTTACCTTCCATCGTTCGCCACATCATCGTAGAACATCGTTATTATTCGATCCTTGGGCATGTTGAATTTATTCACCAGAGTTTTGTAAGCGTGACAAATGTTCGCCTGTTTAAAAAATTCAAAATGTGAAATTCATACGCAAAGAAAAATTGCTTTGCGCGCAGGAAGAGAGTTTGAACGTCGTAGCTGAACGTTTTGTCTGCGATTTCCCGCTGACGATCGGTATTAAAAACTAACGCAACGAAAAAAGTGACGTTAATTTTTGAGCAGTTGCTACTTTATAGATAATCCTCATATTTTGTGAATGGAGGGCGATTTTTTTATAGCGGACTCATCCAGTTTATTAAATTTGTAGAACTTTGAAGAAAATTCAAAGTATTTGGTCGTAAGTGCTTCCACCAGTAATAATACGAAACGTAGCAAGCAATCCTCGGCCAAACAAACCGAACAGTGCCGATGCATCAATGATCGATTATCGATATTGCCTCGTTTGAAGCTGAAATAAAGAATCCATTACGAAAGCCTTCGTTGCGAACACCCTGTTTATAGATCATTTTTTATAGTTTTAAATAATAGATCGATCGATACATCGCAAGGCATGCCATGCCACTGAAACCGAACTGTGTTAGGTTAACACTTTCCGGTTCAAAAGTCTGAGTCCCCAGTCGAGCGAACCGACCGCTTCAGTTGACAGAGCTGAAATTCAGTTCAGTGAATCAAAGGGTCAGTGCTACATGGATCATGTTCAATTCCCACAGAAAATTCATTACCGTGAGTCGGAACTTCCGTTCGTTCAATTTTTTACTTGATTGAGGGCTGATTCCTCTAAACCGAAAATTTAATATGAATCACATGTTGCATAATTTGACTTTTACATTAGGCACGAATTATAGTAACGCAACCAACCTCGTTCTTTAAAATTTCACAAGAAAAATGAATCATATAAAGGAAATTCTGAATTCGACTCCTGAAATTAGTATTCCTCAAGTAGCAAACATTTACAAAGGACGTGATTTCTACAATTTAACACCCGTTTGAACCACTATTTGCCTAAAGGAGCTACTATTTCTGGGTCATCCATAAAAACACCTATCTACATGCAAAAACAAATGGCACAAACATCGTTATTTAAATGAAAACTCCATATTGCAAAATGCAGTCCATTTGATCTGTGTGGTAAAAAACTCATTCAAATCTCGCTCACGAGTAGATGTCTGAGCTTGCGCTCGTGTGAATGGTTCTCTACGCAAGATTCTGTAGAGCCAATATCAATGGTCAAAGTGCAAAACCATGCATGTATTTCCATTTGCACAGAATCACAATGCACATTTTCATAGAATCTTCTCTGTCAGCAGAAAATTCTGTGAAAATGTCAAGCTATTTAGTTTTGTGTAAGTTTTAGTTTTTGAAGGAAAATTGTGCTCTTATGAGCTTTTTCCCCTCTTTATTGAGATTCTTAGCTTGTTTAACGCACGTTGGCAAAAAAACTCCAACACTCTCTTATTTAGTTGACTTGCTCCACCTCATAAAAAAAATAGGAGCGACAATTCTGAAACACCGCAATGAAGATACGTCATTTTGCACTTTGGCCATCGAAATGTGACATTTTTATTTGCAAACCTTGTTTAGTGGTCCATTCGGTTCGTTTAACCGAAGTCTTCTCCTCCAAGTAGGGCGGTCCAGAACCCCGAGGACATAATCATCGACGATCGTCAACTTTCTCCCTCCAACGGCGGGAGGGGGGGGGGGGGGGGNGGTTGGGGAGGTGCAGGGGGGGTTTAGTGACCAGGGCTCCAGCCACCGTTTAATTATCCTCGGTGTTTGATGGAACTCGCGCGAGTCTCAATTACCGACATCAAAGATCGGGGAACAAACTTTTTAATAATGGAGGCCTCGCCGTCAACCCCCTCCCCCACCTTGCCCGGCGCCCTTTTTTCGGTCGCAAATGACGTCACGGTCGAAGGAGACGCGGTCCGCTAATCCTGTGACCACGGCTCCCTCGAGTGATTTATGGCTCGCGTCCAAAACCCCGCCGTTTTCAGGTGATCGCGGTGGCTCGCTAAGAAAAATTGGACTCGTTATAACGCGTAGAAATCGTATCTACGGCACCCTCTCGCCACGTAGAGGAGAAAATTTTGAATTGAATTTGAGAGAAAGGGCCATAATGGGCCTGTTGCATGCAAGAGATACAGCCGTGTGAATAGACTTTATAGAGGTTCAACGACACGAAAATTACGATGGTCACATTATAAAAGTCTGAAATACACTCCTTACTGCGCAATTTGCGTTGTTAGGAACGCGCTTTTTCAAATTTCCCGCGTCTGGGGGCAGTTTCCCAACGGAAACAATTAACGGCAACTCGCGGCTATTTCCGGTCAACTAAAACTGACAACATAACCTAAAAATCGGAACTCGTGATATCGTGAAATGAAATGCAGAGGGATTGCGCTGGATATTTAAAAGTTGATCGATTTGGTTACCGCATAAAGCGTATATGGACCACTATAAGAGATCACGTTGGGTTTGTAAACAAACTGAAGGAAAAAATAACAACAACAACAACAACGACTCGGCATCTTCCGGAAATCACCGAGCCCGCCGTTTGCTCGTTTTTGGTGATCAGAAAACTGCCCCCAGACGCGGAAAATTTGAAAAAGCGCGTTCCTAACAACGCAAATTGCGCAGTAAGGAGTGTATTTCAGACTTTTTTAATGTGACCATCGTAATTTTCGTGTCGTTTAATCTCTGAAAAGTCTATTCGCACGGTTATATCTCTTGCATGCAACAGGCCCATTGGCCTACGTTTTGCATTTGAGAACTACCAATACGGCTAAGTTCAGAAATAACGTATGTACTGTTGGTTTCTTTATAGAGATAGGTGTTTTTTGGGTGAGGCAGTAATAGTATTTGCTAATAGCAAAAGCTATAGTATAATTGGACGTATTTCTATCAAACGGAACTATGTGCATTATGACGTGAGCGCTGTTATGCACATATTCTTATAGGTCTCAGGGCTCATGTCTTAATGCACATAGTTCCATTTGGCAGAAATACGTCCAATTGAGCGAATACATTATAACATGAACGGTGAAAGTAGAATCAGCTTAACCACATCAATCGCTGTCCAATCTCCTCTCATGTTTCATTTTTTCACAAGAAAATCAGGCACCACTTTGACTTGAAACTTTGTGAGAGAACCCTGCTTATTGCAAGGGAAATGTGCGACAAGTTTCAAGATAGTACACTAGTTTCGCTTCAAAACACAACCAGAAACTGAGCTACGTGAAATGCCGATAAAATGATTCTGGTGAAATTCCTTTATGTATACATCCACCATAACTACCAAATTCCCTTTTTTTGTATAAATCCATTCTGAAGACTGCATCGACAAAATCCGTTGTTATTGCCACTATTGTCAACCTCAGGATAGTTTTAAACATGCAAAATTGGACTTACTGACCACGGCGGTGTCCTCTGAGGGTTGGACCGTGTAATGCCCGGGTGTCCATCAAGGTGGTTGAATACCGATGATTTTTTGCAATCTAGTGTGGCACAGTGATTTATTTATGTAATAACAAGGTAAATTATAAAAGGGATTCCTAAAAAGTCAACCACTCTAGTGTCTGTAGAAACTCAACAATATTTACGGATATTACGTGATGCTGTTTGAACTCCGAGGGACAGTAAGCGAGAGTGCCTTCAATTTTTTGTGTAGGCAATAGAACCATCCGTTAAGTACGAACTGTTGCATTTGGTTAATGCATCGTTGACATTGGACAGATTTTAAAAATAACTTTTTTAACTTACCTGATGTCGATAGTACGACCACCCGTTTGTGCCTGCCACGAGTAGAGCCCATGTTTTCCCTCCACTGGTGACATTTTCTTCTGCCAATCCGCTGTCTTCAGATGAAGCGACGAAATGACAGATCAACAAAATGTTCAGAATTATATTCAACCTGTCAAAATAGGTAGAAGAATCTTTCACATTTGATCTTGACGATAGAAAGTAAAAAAAAATGATGAATAAACGTTTCAATCGTACCTCTGATTCAGAGCCCTTACGAATGATTTTCTCATCCTGTGTACATCTTCCTTATCAATCAAATCCTGAATAATTTACACAAAAATTACCGTAGATTGATGGTTAAAGTCACAAAACTTGCGTATCTCGATTGGTTTGAAATTTCCGCTGTGAGCAATTAATTACAGAGGAAGCAATATATCGACGGTGAAACTACCAAACCACGTATCTCGTTTGCGGTGTTTAAAAATCTACGCTCGCATTTTATTTTTTTGAGGTAGACCAAATCAATATCATTCCTTGAAATTTTCACAGAATTTTCTCCGCACGAAGAGAAAAAATCACAGAAATTTTCAAGACTGGACGTTAAGTAGTTTTTCATTTAAAAAATAAAGTATGATAGGAAGTCTGCGACGTCGCAAACCGAGATACGTGGTTTGGTAGTTTCACCGTCGATATGTTTTTGATCGAAATTTGTACAGAATATTCAATACAAAATGAAGAATCAATAAAATTCCGGGGATTTACATGTTCGTCGGTGTTCCTCCAACGACATGAAAAGTGACGAGAAATTCGTAGTATTACATATCGAGATATGTATTTTGAGACTTTCACCATCGGTATGCGTGAATCGATAGTGAGTGGCGGCGTATGAACATCAGTAGCGGAGGCGTGAATGAGGAATTATCGATATCTCCCCATTTGAAGATGTGGTAAATAATCGATTATTAAGGTGTTCGTTTCGAACACTCTGTCCATCGATCCTTCCCAAAAGGTTTAAATGTCAGATCAACTGATGTATCGCAAAGTACGTCACGCTACTGATGAAAATAATTAAGAACATTATCACCGTTTACTTGTTCATGTGTATTCCTATACTTTCGCCATTATGCGGTGGTTTTGAAATATGTTTGCCATGCATTAATCGTGAGAATATTAAAATGAATTACTCAAGTATTCAGAAACTTGATTGTTCAAACGAATCAGTGAAAACAAAAACACACCAACTCGAAAAAATGAAAATGATTAAGACACACGAAAAACTATCAGTGGTTGAAAAAGTTAGCACAAGAAAAAGATCTTTGGTGACGAAAGACAAGTATTTAAGGACGCTTTAAAGGTTCAAGTTGGAATAGATTCGTTAACTTCAATGATCTTTATGAAAACTGACTCTCTTTAATGAAAATTGAGCATTTTTTAGTCACCGAGTTGGTGTGTTTTCGTTCTCGCTGATTCAAATAGAAAGAAAGAGAGGAAATTTAAGAAATAAACAATAGAGACAGCTGAGTTCATTCAGCTCGCAAATTTTGATGAAATTAAGATGTCTCGGTATTTTATTCCACCAGTCACACTCTGGCTTCATGAAATCCGTGGTGCTAAAGGCGGGCCATTTGTGGAGTTTTTCGTCGTTGCATGCACGACTGCTGTTACGTCATCACAGTATGTGCCTTTGTCAATGATCGATACGGGACTTAATGAAGAAGCCCTTTAGTAGAGTCACGGATAGGATAGATAGCATGAAATTAACAACTCTCTTCATCATGGAGCATGCAGGTACCAAATAGAATGGATTGTTCGATACGTTCACCTGGAGTTTTCTCATTTAGAAACTAAAAACCATCAAAAATAAATAAAAAAAANGGGGGGGATACTTACTTATTGAACGCCCCTCGTAGAATGGATTGTTCGATACGTTCACCTGGAGTTTTCTCATTTAGAAACTAAAAACCATCAAAAATAAATAAAAAAAAAGTATAAATCGTGCCCCCGGAGCCAAATAGCTTTGACTTTAAAAAAAAATCCATGGCTAAAGTTAAAAATATGGTTACCCCCATGGCAATGTTTCAATATCTTCAATAATGTTTTATTTCTTTTATGTAAAGGAGCTATACCATGATACTGAAGATCAAAGTGCGAAGGCACGTATTTGAATTGCAGTGTCTCAATATTCCTGTACCTCTTCAATTTTTTCGAAGAGAAACAAACCAACTGTATAGCTTTAAATTGTGCAGATTAGTTTGCTCAGATAGAAGAATAATCACCGTAGGTTTTCAAGTAATTACGTTGACTAGTTTCTCAGAGGAAAAAATTAAGTATGATAGGGCGTCTGCAGCGTCGCAGACAGAGATACGTGGTTTTGCAATTTAGCCATCAATATCCTCATGCATATCTTCATGGAAGTTTTTGTTAATAAGAATGAGCTAGCAAAGTTAACAGAACGTTTAAAAGAAACTGATGGTTACTTTTTTTTAAAAAATAATTACAAACTAATTAATAAATAAATGAATAAATAAAACGTGCTTGGAGATTAACAACGCTGAAATTGGACTTACGAATTTTCTGACTTTAGCCATCGCAATATTTCTCGGTAGGTGACTGTATATCCGTCCGTAGAAAAGAATCTTCTCTCCGGAGCCGAAAAAGCTCTCAAAATTTGCTCGGGGAAACAAAGAACGAAAGGCTATCCCTTCCAGACTTCAATCATTTCCCCGGTCCCTGAGGGACGATTCGGCTTGTGAGGAGGAGCAATAAAAATAACTCAGACTTACCTTAATTCCATGACAGGCGTATTCTTTCACGGATTCCCTGCTTTGTTCCCGACTTAAAACTATACGTCTGCGAGTCTGAATCAGTTCATCAAAAGTTTTATCTGCCGAGATTATAACGAACGCACTCGAGATAAGTTGGGGACTCGTCTGGGCTCCAGGAAGAACGACACCTGTGAGAATCGCAATCTCCACTCGGCTTTAATCACAAATTTGAAGCTTTCAAGTGCCAATGTCACCACGCAGTGCCGAAATCTTCGTCTTGCACAGATAACGAGTCATTTCCGCACATAAGTTCTGTAACTCCCTAATTTTTCATTTTTCATTTATCATTGTACATTCTACGTAGAGGTTTAAGAGATAGGTTCGATAATTTTACGGCCATTGAAAGGTAATAACCTCCACATTAAAAATATCGAAATATCTATAACCAAACTGCACAACCACGTTTCTGTGTGCGACGCTGCAGACTTCCTCTCATAATTTTTTTTTTATTTTTGGAAAACTGGTAAACGTAATTTTTTGCAAACTTCCTTGACTAATTCCTTCTCCGTCAGTGGAATATGCTGTTAAAAAGTACTAAGGGCCTGTGGACACTACGCGACCGTCGTCCACTTAAGAAAAACTACACGTAAAAAAGTGTAAAACAAGTACATTCAAGTTACTTAAGGAATAAATGGATTCAAGAGCCGACGGGTTCACGCAAAAGAAATCGTATTTATCTTTAATTGCAACGTAGTTGCACCACTCTTATGTTTAATCGTTAATCAATGCTTTTAAAAAGCTACACACAGTTTTTCAAGCCAGTCTTTGTGAATTTTCCTAAATACTTTAAAATAAAAAACATTTTACAAATCTCTGAGACAATACAAAAGATTATCCCAGATCTAATTATAAAATTGATTTTTAAAGATCGAGATCCTTCATAAAATATAATGATTTTTTTTACGGATTCTTCAAGACTGAAAATATCAAAATTGCGAGATACGACGCTCATTAGAACGAGCCAACGGATGAAGTCGGACATGAATTTGCAACTAAAACTGGCAAATTTTGATTTTTCATTCATTTCAGTGGATGAGGTTTAATGAGGAATATTCAATGATTGGAAAGTTAACCGAATTTAAGAATATCTTTACGATCCTTCGAGGATTGCAGGCTCAGGCTCACGTTGTACATTGGTTGTATATTTAGTCAACCGCACCGCTGGTGGTAGGCCTGACAACGAGGAGCAACATCGATTGAAGTGCGCACCGTGCTGTGCGCGCAATGCGTGAAGTATTCCCATAGTCTTGTAGGCGCTAATATGCGGTTCATACCACCTGAACAGACCATCTGCTCTGCGTTCGACGCAATGCGAGCGGTATTCATGCTCTCTTGTAGGCGCTAAACTACGTTCACGCCTACCGCATTATTTGGCGCAATGCGTGAAGTATTCTTATAGTCTTGCAGGCGCTGATATGCGTTTGACGCCGGCCGCATTGTATTTGGCACGATTTTTCAAACTCGCTTCAAAATAATCGCGGCATCGAGTAATAAGGCTTCTTAATCAAAAAAGCCCACGTCGTGTTTAGACGCTGTATGATCATTCCAACATTGCCTCGTTTCTTCCGATAAAATATTTTTTCCGAGAAAAGCTAGGAAAATTCTTTATGTTCCCTTTTTTAGATTGAATGAACCATATATTGTGATGCTGCATAAATTTCAAGCTATATTGTTGGCTTGTTTCTCTACGAGGAAATAAAACAGGAGCGGAGATTTCGAAACACCGCAAGGGAGATACGTGGTTTTGCTGTTTGGCCATTGATATGACTAAGGACTTAATTTTTTTTTTTTTTTTTTTTTTTTTTTTTTTTTTTTTTTTTACAAATTTCTGCATTTTTCCATTTCATCAGTTTAAATTTTAAATGCTTGTAGTAACGCGTTCTAAAGATCTACCGAGCCAGATTCCATGATGTTTACAGTAATCGGTGGAGTTTCTCTGGAGATTTGCACTCAATAAGTCCTTAAAATCAAAAGCGGGAGTGGTACTTCGAGGGCGTAAACCGTCTTTAAGGGATCGGGTCGCATAGTGGCCAGGGAGCGCAACCCCTAATTCCTCATAGTTTCCATTCAACAGCAATGATGTTTCCTTCGACCACATACTAAGTTCAAAACGTGGTTTCATTTTTGCAGGATTTACTAAGATTTGAATGTCACAATTGAGCTCTTTTGATACATTGGTGAAAGTAACAGAGTCCTGTTTCCTTCATTATTTCTAATATTCATTCGAAATCCTCATTTAATTTGACGTTGGATAATAAGCCGAGACTCAGCAGTTTCTCCGAGCCCACATTCACTCGTCTGTCTGTTTAAGATTTTTAATGAATTGGAGAAATAACATCACTAACTTAGCGCGGCTCGGCTTATAGCTTCGTAAAACTGTTATTTGAACATGCGAACAGGCACTTGAAATCAACTAATAATTCCATACAAATATATGAGAGGCATACCATGATCTCTTTCACCTAGGCAGGATCATTCATTGGCCAAACGTCGATCGATTTTAAGGAGGCATGAGTGTAAGGTCCCCATGTTAGATACGACAGCGTATACTTATGACGCAGTCTTTATATGCCAAACTTGATCGAGTTGATCATGTCATTAATAATGTTCCTGATTAGAACATCCTAAAAACTCCTACATGTCTTTGTGGTTGACGAGTATACTAGTTTCTATACGGGGAAGTAAGTAAATAAAATAATAAATCAATACCATTTTAACAAACAATTGTATAACGTATTTATTTACATATTCATACCAATTATCTGCACGAACAATTTAACTTTACTTAAGTGTCAACTCTATGTAACTCTTATCCACTCTACATAACTTTCATGCATTAACAATAAAAAATAACTTTTACATAAATTATTTGGTACGAAGTATTGAACACCTTTTGCAGTTAAGTATCGCTCCAGTAGAAACGTTTTCTAAATTGTCAACAACAATACGATTACGTCTTAAATAATTACATTTAAAATCAGATGTAAAAATTATACATGACCCATTTAAATACATGAAACTCAAAGCAACTTCTCAGATAATACAAATGGAAATGACTGGTGACAATACCGTGGAATAGAAATGGGTTTTGGAGCAGTGGCGAGGCGTGAATGATCGATTATCGATATTTCCCCATTTAAAGCTATGACAAAGAATCGATTACTAAGATGATTGTTGCGAACACCCTGATTATCGATCCTTTTCCATAAGTTTAAATGGCAGGTCAATCGATATATTGCAAAGCACGCCACGCCACTGCTGGTGACAATACCGCGTAATAGACATGGGTTTTGGAGACTAACGCAATTGTTAAATAATTGATTCTCTATATATTCTTCAAACTCTGAAGTAAATTTAAGTTATAGGGACTGTGTCGTAGTTTTTGTAACATCATACTATTTCTTGCAGTGTTACACGTCTATTGTTCGGCCCCAAATTTGAAAGATTTAGATGTTCATAACAAGTTATCTACGAACGCTTGTCCCTCCTATAGTCTGTATTCTGAAAAATTAAAAATCTATCTTATTTCAGCCGTGGCAGGCCTTTCAAATTTGTGTACCCTCGGCTAATTACCAATGACTACACGTGAGTGATGGATCATCGATATTTCTCAATTTGAAGCTGTGGTAAAGAATCGATTAATGAGGTGCTCGTTGCGAACACCCTGTTTATCGATCCTGTTCCATAGGTTTAAATGACGGATCAAGCGATATGTTGCAAAGCACTTGACTGTGTGTTTTATTCTGTAAAAAAACATCAAGCAAAAACGTTCACTAATATGTCAGAAAATTGGTAATTTATCTGAGGAAAATTGGCATCTTTTGAATGAAAATACGATTTTCATCCTCATCACTGCAGAATGTAGATCATAAAGAGGGGTGAGGTACCTTTAATCACCGATTATGCCATTAGTTAGTGCAATCCAGATTATTTTTTATCCCGAATATTTTGAGAACAGCAAAGCACAAGTGTGCCTGAGTGATGGGAAATTATTCACAGAAAAAAAAGTGAAGTCGATTTAACATTTTAGATGTAGAAAAAGTGTGCGAGAACTTATTAAATGCTGAATTACCCGCCACATTGCTGTAGCGGGTATTTCAGCTATTCATAAATTCTCGCACTTTTTGTTTACATCCAAAATTTTAAGTCAAACTTCACTTTTTATCGGCGTTTGATTCTTTAAAAAGTGGAAAAAGGAATTTGCTTGAGATAGTGATACATGATAATTAAGGAATCAGTGAATGACGTTATTTAACGAACACTTGGTACCTAAGATTTTTTTTATTGTTGACAGAGAACGTACTAAAGCTGATAATGGGAGTAACATGAAATAGGTACCGTACCACAATGTGATTACGCCCTTTTGATTTTCTTATGGTATGCATGGTATCTAGTCTTCTATTTGAAAGAAACCTATCACGATTACTTAATTTAATTCTAATGGAAGGCTGTGAGCTTGATGGAAGTCAAGTAGGATTGACTTGATTTTTTCGACCTGTTTGATTGTACTCGATTGACGGATTAAACCATTCATGACTATAATGATTTAAGATATTGAGGCATCGGGTAACTCCTCACTATAGATTTAAGTTGTTCCTCACATCACGACTTCCATTATTGTGACAGTAGTAAAACATAGACAGGTTTGGAATGTAAATTTGTTGATTTTGGTACTTTTGAAGAAAACATGTATCTTCGCTAAAATAGAGACGGAAAATGTTCAAGACTGCCTTCATTTTGTTAATGATGCCTCAACAATTATAAATTTCATCAACTGAATTTTTCTTCAGATATCTTAGTTGGTTAAATACTAGTTAGGTTTTTATTTTAGGCCATAAATATGCAGGCCGCGTCTTAATAAGTGACAGCCCGTTGGATGTACGAGTGTTAATTATATCTTAGACGGACACAAGAAAACTTTTAGAAAGATTACGACAGTAATAGTGATGACGAGATCTCCACTTTTTAAATATACAAAAATAAACGAAAATCCAATTCGATAACTTAATAAGTCGATTAACGTAACAATAATATAAAATTTTCCGTAAATTACGATGTCTATACAAGTAACAAAAAGTCAAAAATTGGCGATATGAGATGATATTTACAAGGCTTATTAACAAATAATGGCTCAAACTTAATATGATAGGATAAAGAGAGGTTTAATGCTTGGAAGAGTCCATAGGCTCAAGATTTTTCAAAATGGACGACAAATGGAGGGGTACACGGTACAGGCTTCCTTAAACTTCATGAAGTTTGCGGGGGAAGGTTTCGTGGGAGTTGTTAGTTGGACCGTTATAGGATCTTAACAGCTCAAGATTGTGGTTTAATCTAAAATGTATTTATTTTTTGGAACAAGTTAATTCTACCAAGCCTAGAATAAAAATCTCTTTTTTTTAAATTCAGGCACTCACTCACAGGAATTGTGTGAATTATCAAATAATCGCGTGTTCATGAAAAGTTCATTCGAAATTTTCAGAATTAAAAATTCCGAAAGACCCTCTATAATTCTTTTAGAGAAGGTGATTGTGTAGTGAACAACGAGTTTTGATCGCATTAATTTCAGAGGCTCAACTAAGGGCGTTTGAGGAGGAGCTAAGGGGAGGAAAACATTCGCCAAAAAATAAAGAGAAATTTTTACAGTCTTTGGTTGAATTTGGTCGTAAACTAGTCTATTTCATGAAGCAAAACGGTTTTTTCTTCCATTTGATAAAGAAACTAGGACTTGCTGAAAAGAATGATTTATTTTAAGCATTTTTGCCATGTGTCCTATTCTAAAAAGTTTGTTACCGAAATTGTTCAAGTAAAAATAAATTATGAAAGTAATGTAAATTTGATTAATCTTAGTTTGCAATGAATTTAGATTGAAATGAATGGAACCTGTTCCTATGTAGCAGACATCTCAATATTTTATTTCTTGCTCAAAGGCCGTTCATATTACGCTGAAAATTGGAACCTCCTCCCCTCGTAACGCATCCGTAGCACAAGCTAAGCCCATTAAAAATACATTGTCCGCCCCTTACCCTCAAATTATCGTTTTGCGATGAATTTCGATAGAAAAAGTGTCAGCCCACATTATTTTTTAACTTATATTTTTTAAGAAAAACTGGAACTACCTATATGTTTCTATTCTAGCGTTACGTAACGCAGCCTTGAATGCCTGTAACTCACTCGTAATGTACGCTTACATTCAATGAACAGCCCCTCAACTAAACAATTGTCATTCTAGAAATTACACTTGTCTGACTTATCGGTCAATGTTGCATGTTGCTAACCTGACTTTCCAGAAGGCAACAATGCGGTTAAGAAAAAGAAATGTTCGAACATAAGTTATCTGAATGCTAGAATATTTCTCTTTTAAAAATATTATTATATTTACCCACTTGACACCGGCCGAATTTTTCCAAGTAAACTATGGCAGTAAAATTATATTTGCTTTATATTATACGTGGAAGAGTTAGGGCGAATTAATTAGATGAATGAAACTTAGTAGTAATGCTCCGTTTTTGAATGGATCAAAGGTAGGCGGAGAAAATTCACATTAGGTTGAATGTTCTGTTTATTACGTTAAACTCATAAAATATTAAATGATTTGAATTCAGAAGTGAGGAACAAACCAACATTTTGATGGGAAAATTGGGTTACCGATGATTTTAGATAACTTTAAGACTGATGTTTCATTACGGATGCCCTGCTGCAAGGCCGCAGGTAATACGTGGCTCACATTGTTTCATTTTATTTGTAAATGGAGTTCTTGCAAAAAGCTGGATATTTTCCAAACTTTATAACCTCCTTTCTTTTAAACACATTATTTTAAGTTCACGCTTCGTTACTAAGTTCCAAATTCAGGCCTCGCGGATATTATAATGGTGTGTTACTGTTGTTGATTTTAAATCCCTGAGGAGTTTTCAAAAAGCAAGAAATTCGTGGCTAACAGCATCGTTACTAACATTCCGGGAAAGGTTGCATATTTTGGAAGCCCTATTTATACGAGCAATGTTAGATTCGCCTTAGTAATGATCAAAGTGTTTAGGGCAATTTTTTTTAGCAAACAATACCTCCAAGAAGCACAGAGCAACTATTAAAATGATTTTGCAATTCAATTCAATAAATTTGAAATGTTTTAACCAAGAAATTGTATTTTTACAACATTTGGTCACTTAATGCCGATTTCTAACAATCAGTAAAACGATTTCCTCGTGAGAGGAAGATAGGAAATTTGCAATGCAAAAAAATTGCAACTTTTTTTAAATTAATTCCAGTAAGAGGAGCCCTTTTCAATGAGAGACAACATGCTCAGCACTCCTGCATGTTAGCCGTAACGTACCATTTAATTGCAATATGTGCTACTTGAGCTACCGAACTTGTTTTTTTGTCGCGACGATTAGGTGTTAGTCATCACTAAGCCAATTACGTCCATCAAATCGATCATTTATCCTATTGGACGAAAAATGCTGTTCATCTCCGAATGTAACTTTGACTAATTTGATTAAATTGCTCAGATTGGGTAAGCGGGGACTTAAAAATACATTTTTTCTCTCAAGTCTGCTTGAATTCTTCCTTGTAGCGAGGCACAGAATAAAATGTGAACTACTTCGAAAGAGCCTTCAGGTCATGTCCGATGAAAAAAGGCCTTCGTGAGTTGATGAAGCTTTGATAATAACACGTCATCTCACGAGGGGGAAGGGCACCGTAATCAACTCAAAAGAATGATAGATTTTTAGGAAAAACTTTTCGCTTGCTAATTGGGACCAATTTCACAAACAGAAACCAACTCAAGCCGGATACATTCTGAGAAAAGCCGTATTAAGTTGCGACTTCTAAAGTTGTCGGGTTATAGGAGGAAAATCCTATAAGCTTCCAATGTTTTAAAAATTCTCTGTTATTTTTCCTGGTAGACTTGTTCCTTCCTGACTGACGCGGTCAAAGTACAACCAAAGACAAATTTTGCACGGATACTTGCTATGTACGTAACTCGTAAGAAGATCATCAAGGTCATTCTTAAAAAAAAGGTTCGATGAATGATATTGAGAGCAGTTCCCCCTTAAAATGGTATATCAACACGAAGCACCGTCTTATTGATTTCCCAAGTCCTGAGAATTTAGTGGAAGCCCAATCTGGCGCAGCATACTACAAAGCTAAAAACTCATACAGCTTTTTTTTTTACTTTTGAAGAACCCGTGGAGAAATCGATGTCTGTTAAAAAAGTATGATTTTACTCAATAGCCCAAAGTTGCGACTTGTTTTAACCTGAAAGTATTTAGTAAAAAATTGAATGGTCAAAGGCCTATTTCATGGAACTGTTCTTCTCACAAAGTTTTAAAAAAAACATCTAAAACTGTATTTTGAACCTTTTTGAACCTTCAATTCAAAATGAACTCACGAGTACTGCAAGATCCTCTTACGCCCTAATAGCAAGCGGAAACTCTCCTGTTCAATATTTCCGTAACATTGAACATTTGAGACATTATCGGGTTGTTTTATTAATTTTTTCCAGTTTGTCTGTGCTCCTTTTTTCATTCATCGAAGTTTTGCATTTTACGTTTAAATATACACAGAGATTCCGAATTCACCAAAACTCTATCCGTAAGCTTCGCATGTTTAGTAATAGTCTCATGACTAAGTAAATCAAAAATAATTTTTACGTAAAATTTGAACGAAACATGTCGTCGATAACTCATTTTAAGAATTTTAGGGCGTCGACTATTAATATTTTTAAAAAATATTGTCTGCTAGGATAACCGACATTAATTAAGCGGTATTAAATGCTTCCCAAAGGCGGCTAAGGCAGGCAACTGGAAAAACTTTCTCTGTATACTTGGAAGATACTAAGTTGGAATGTCGCCTATTCTCTTTAAAATTATAATTACGGAAAGTAACTTCGGCAACGGCTGACGTAGTTAGGTTGATTTTGGTTTTCGCCGTCCGTATGTTTTTAAGGCCCCGAGTGCTGGGATATGTTTCCTTTCCTTTTTTGGAGTGTGAAGCTTAGAATCCCTGAATAACGTGGTAGGCCTCCAGCGTGGACATGGTGATGTAGAAGAGCCACAGGCAGAATAGAACGAGGGATGTGACCATTTTGGCTCCGACCGGACCGCCGAGCTCTCCACCAATGGCGTCGCTTCGCCGGATCACCAGGATGACGATGGCTATGCACGCACCGGAACAGAACAGCGTCACCGAGAAGGCCAAACTGAAACAAAGTTCCAGCCAAAGGTGTCACTGACAGAACTTATATAGTCCTTGCACGCAGCGGGGATTTATGAGAAAACCATGCATGGCTTCATTTACATATGGACGTATTTTTGCGAAAAGGAGATATGTGCAAGTGGAAAGATGGGGTGTGCTCGTTAATTGGGTCATAAGAAACAATGTAAAAGTGGATATAGCTCCTTTTGAGAAAATTGAAAAGCGGGATTTTCTATTAAATCAAAAGGAGCTAAGCGCCAAAATATGCTAACTCATGAGCCGCGGGCACGGCAAGAGAGCGTTGTGGACAGGGCTCATGAGGTAAAGCCCGCGTTGCCGGGCGTCGTTGCTCCCGTCGTCGCCGCTGACGTCACTGGCGCTTTATATTCCCCATTCATTCTTATGGCCCGACCACTAACGAGCACACCCCATCTTTCTACTTCCACATATCTCCTTTTCGCATAAATACGTCCAATATCGATGGTGCACGGAGAAAAAAACCTCGTGCAAGGGACCCGAAGTTAAGGTCATATGGATCTCTGAAATTTTCGGATCACGTATCTAAAAACTTGAGGTCAAGCTGCCGAAGTTCGGGTCCGACATCTGAAGTACTTCGACATATACCGAAGTGCCTCGATGTCTGACCCGAACTCCGGCAGCTCGATCTTAAGTTTTTAGATACGTGATCCGAAAATTTCAGAGATCCATATGACCTTAACTTCGGGTCCCACGCGCGAAGTTTTTTTCTCCGTGTGAAACTTCAGAAATGTGAATCTCGGTTTGCAGCGTTGCAGACAAACTACTGAATGTCATTTTTTGAAAATATCAGTGATTTTCAATCAACAGTAATTTTTCTTCCCTTCAGAAAGAATATTACTAAAAAACTTCACGCCATGATGTTGGATCGATCTCCTTTTGAAAAATAAAATAGGAGAGGAGATTTAGAAACACCGCAACCGAGATACGAATTTTTGCAGTTTCACCGTCGATATATGTATAAATTCTCTAGTGAATATCTCGGACAATTTTGCAAGGTTTCTTCGAGCGAAAAATACCGAAATTTTGGCACCTCTGGTAAAATCCGAAAGCACTTCTAAGAGAGTGTCGACGGGACACAATGCAATGATTTTTCTCTGCTTTTTTTTTGCAATTATATTGTTTCTGAAAATTAAAACTGGTTCTGCGATGATGTAATGATTGCATTTTGCAAAAAGGAACCACTAGCATTGCAATGTTGCTAAGATTGTGCAACTTCTTTTGTCTTGGAGGAAAACCCCGATTATCCATTAATAGTTCCTATTTTACTCGCTAATAACTGTAAATTTAAGACAAAAATCACCATCTAAATTTCATAGTTTTTCACGATTTCCGCAATTTTATTGCAAAAGATAAAGTTGCACAATCTTAGCATCATTGCAATGCTAGTGGTTCCTTTTTGCAAAATGCACTTCATTTAAATGTGCATTTTTAAAAGCTACTCCTATTCATATGCATGTACGCATTTCCCCATAATACTTAATTTATCCATGCTAAGCGGGCCTCTGCCTGTAGAGAAGTGGGTATGAGTTGGGTGTATTATGGAGATATGGACGAGTGGGAAAGATGGGGTGTGATCTAGAAAGCTGTATAAGAAATAAAGTTAAATTGGGCGTGATTACCTTTTGAAAAATGGAAAAGCGGGGTTTTTTTTTGGTTATGTCAAACAGAACTATGGGTCAACTAAATGCGGCACCCTTGAGCCGTGGGCATGGCAAAAGAGCGTTGTGAATAGGGCTCATGAGTTAATGCCAAACAAGAATGACAGCGAAGACGGCTTCGTTGCCGCTGACGTCACTGGCGCTTTATAATTCCCATTCATTCTTACGGCCCTCAACTATCAAGCACACCCCTTCTTTCCTATCTGTCTCTGGTTATGTTTGGGAGAAATACGTCCAATTAAAGCACTTTGCAACATACTCTCTCTACAAAATTTCACGAGTGCGACGAATCTTACGACGAAAAGTCTGCGGGAACTGACTGGCAGTAAACAATATGAGCTGCGTATGTCACAAGCAATTTCTCAAATCAGGAATTGTATCAAATGCTCAAGGCAGATAATTAAATTTTGACACTTTACAAATTTTGTAACCCTAAGGCAGAAAGCTCACGGGTTTTCAAAATTTTGGAAAAACGACTCATCACTTCATCACGTCTATAAACTCTCTTTGTTTCTTCTTCTTCGAATTGGGTTATAGCACATTTTGTCAACGATTTTTTGTCCGCGCACCTGGTTTTTTAGTGATTTACGTCCAACACCTATGTTGTGGAACAGTTGCTTGAAGCATCATGGCACGTTGCGGCGCGGCGGGCGGGCGGGCGGCCAGCGCAAAACGCGCTCTGGCGCCTACAAACCTAACCGGAATACTTCACGCATTGCGCAAAACGTGCGCTGGCGCCTACAGACCTAACAGGGATACTTCACGCATTGCGCAATGCGTGAAGTATTCCTGTTAGGTTTGTAGGCGCCAGAGCGCGTTTTGCGCTGGCAGCACACCGCTCCGCTCTGTATTCGGCTCTAATATATAGACTCGTGGAGTCAGTGTTTTTCAACTCATGATTTTGAAATGTTTGCACACTGCATGAAGTATCTTAATTTAAATTGATGAAAAAAAAATATGCATAAAAGTAAAATAAAATGTGTGTTTTGTAAATATTAAGCTGTTTCCGTGTAAAATTTAATGATTTCCAAAGCACTTTATTTTTTTCTTTTATATTTTGTGGTTTTACTGTGCTGCAGCGTGGTGCAAACATAACCAAACGCTCAAAATTGGACATATTTGACTCTAAAAGATCGATGTACAAAGGGGCTAAAACCAATGATTTTTAACTTTTCAGAATCTATAGGTGAAATTGAGAAAAATATTGACTGAAAAATTGGGAGGAAATTAGTCATAAGTTTACCAGGAAATTCGCGTTTTACGAAAGGAAATATGGCAACGCCTGAATGTTCATACGGCGTTTTTCCTTAGCACGGCATTATCTCTCCGTCGTTGCTGCTGACGTCACTGGCGCTTTATAATCCCCTCTCATTCTTACGGTCCTCGACTTAATAGCAAACCCCTTCTTCCCCGCATGTCTCTGGCTCCGTTTAGCAGAAATAAGTCAATTTAGTAGGTTTGATTTTCTAATACGGGAGACTTAAAGGGCTGGAGCGATAGGGAGTTTAAAGAAATAAGATTATACGTACTTTCCGGGGTCGACGTAGAAATGCCGACCGTGCCACCAGTGGTAGATGGCAGCGATGGACCATGCGACGCCGATTCCAAGGAAGACGTTCACGGCGTTACTTCCCGTCACGTTGCCCACGCTGTTGTCCGCCGTGTTGTCTTGGATTGCCGCCACTTTACTCGCGAACGTGTCTGAAACAGTCAAAATTTAACGCGAAATTGTAAAATACATCCTTCATTCAGGGTTCCACCAGAAAACAGAAAAATATGAAACATGAAAGGGATGGTAGTCGAAAATCTAATGTCCAACCTCTCTGAATGGCTCGTTCTATACTGCCGCGCTAAGTAAAAACGCCGTATGAAGCTTCTGGCGTTGCCGAATTTCCTTTGATACAACGTCCATTTACTGGTAAATTCATGAATATTTTCCTCCCAATTTTTCAAATAATTTAGCTCGCAGTTTTACCTAAAGATTTTGAAAATTCAAATGAAAAATGTTCGTAACTTGCCTAAGGAATAAACATTTTATCGAAGGAAATTTGGCAACTCTCGAATGTTCATACGGCGTTCTTCCTTAGCCCGGCAGTATTGTGCGACGAGATGACCGAAATCCGATGCAACTCTGCCATGCTATAAGCAAGAACGCCGTATGAACATTTAAGAGTTGCCAAATTTCCTTCGCTAAAATGTTCATTTTTAAAGAAATATATTAATATTTTTCCTTGACATTTTCGGGACCTTTACGTGAAATTGCATACAAAATTATCTGGAAAATTAGAGAAAAAATATTCATATTTTTACGAAAAAATACGTGTTTTATCAAAGAAAATTTGGCAACGCCTGAAATGTTTATACGGTGTTTTTCCTCGGCACGGCAGAACTGGCTGGCTGCGGATGCCGCGCCGGGCGCAGTCGCCAGGATCAATCTGCCAGCTCATTAAGAACCGCATATCTATCAATGGAGTTAGTATTAGGGATAGGTGATTTTTGCTGAGCAGGCCCTCAAAGCGGGGATTTATGGGGGTCCGATTGTTCCGCTACGCGGATCCCCAACCCCGGCCCCGACGCGAAGAAACGTACTTTAACCGGATGGTGAATGGTGAACGGTGAATGGTGGACGGTGGATGGTAGATGGTGGATGTGAATGTGGCGGAGGCACTTAGCCGGTATTAAACGGCGATTTATTACAATTATTTACGAGGCCTAGGCAGTAGGCACTGGCTCGCAGGAAACTCCGCGAGAATCTCATTCATAAACCACGCCTTCATGCAACTAGGATCGCCGCACAGTAGATCGCGACAAAGGGAGAGGTCGGACATGAAATTTTTGACTAAAACTGCAAATTTTGATGTTTATTTCGTCACAATTAAAATTATAAGGGGCGCTTCTAGAAGCAACTTTCACGAAGAAACCACTGGAACCACTTTCAGAACCTCAAAATTTTGTATAAACGGAGTTTTAAGCGTTTAAAGTTTCCGAATTTTGTCCGACCTCTCCTATTGACTCGATCCACTGTGGGCTGTTGCCACTTTTTCATTGATATGGACCATTGGCTCAAACATTGTTTTCCCCTTGAATGGGAAATAACGGTAAAGAAATTGATTAGGGTAACCCTCAGATGCTCAAACCGGGTGGAGTTGGCCTGAGGCTTCCTAAAAACAAGTGCCCCGCGAGTTGTATGGGGCCGGTACATTCAAGGTTTGGATGGACGAATTTTTGCCAGAAGGAACCGTAAACGAATGGGAAAGATGGGATGTGCTCGTTGAAACTGTATAAGAAGCGATGTTAAAGTGGGCGTGATTCCCTTTGGAGAAATGAAAAAGCGGGATTTTACATTCTAGTCATTGGCGCTTTATGATTCCCATTCATTCTTACAGACCTCGAATAACGAGCACACCCCTTATTTCCCACCTGTCCTTGCATGCTTACAGTTTTAGACCTATAGAACGATACAGGTCTAAATCCTAAAAGAAGAATCAAACGGCAAATTGCAAAAAAGAAAATAATCGAGTGCCCACACAGCCTAAGATAGGAGATACGCATTCGGGTCCCGTTTTTGAACTTTTCTCCGAAGAAACTCCTAATTGACAGCATAGAGTGGAGCATTGCCAGTCGACACAATGAGATGCAACAAGGACATCCATCAAGCACGAATATTTGTATCTCTGCGCCGTCATCGACGCGCATCCGTTACCATGATCTATTTCCAGAATATGTTTGTTTTTGTTTGTCTCATTCGAAGTGATGCTTCGATGCTAACGTGAGCAACACAGCGGGACGATTGTTGAATCATATTGCACAATTTTTCTAACATTTTATCGGCACTATCAACACTTTTTTCTATGCAAATTAATATTTTTTCAAAAACCGATTATACAGTATAATCAGTATATATAATTAGTAAAATCGTATAATAGGTTTTTGAATTTTTTTTCAAAAACCTATTATACGATTATACTAATGTACGATTATACTGTATAATCGGTTTTTGAAAAAAATGTAATTTGTATAGGAGAAAAAGAGATTGTTGAATCGTTATCGAATGAACTTGTTCGATAAATCCCCACCTTGGCAATACTTTTTATCGATCAAGGTCATGCAATATCGATTCAACAATCGAGCCCCAGCTGACACTAGGAAAGATGTAATCCGGTCTCGTTTTTAAGTTTTCTCCCCAGTCTGACGAACATCTCATCAGTAGATAGTTACTGTCTCGCGCCACCGCGCCTTCAAATTTGCAGACGCAACACGGACATCCATCAAGCACGAATAGTTGTATCTCTACGCCGTCATCACTGCGCGTTGAAGTGTCTCTTACTTTTGAAATTTGAGGAAAATTAGGGCAAAGTGAGCTTAAAATGTGCTGTAACGTGCCCAAATCAATAATCATTTCGAAAAAATAAAAAATAAAAGAAAAGGAGACATCTCGCAATGGATAATTTACATGCACATTCCTTATTGCTTTATCTCAAAGTTCTTACGCAGCTGACTGCACAGTATCTTTTATCATTTTTTTCTGATGTGGGAAATAGTATAAGCATAGATTTAAAAGTGAAGAAATGCACCGCCTAGTGACGTCACCTGGCCGCATTTCCCATTTAAACACATGTATTTTAGGAGATTAGATCATTTTTTCATATCTTATCCAATAATTGTTCAATTCATGAACCAAGAGTATCTTCGTGTTCAGTTCACTCGGTAGTTTCCATTTGAACACGAAATTCATCAAATTTCAGACACCTGCAAATTCTCTATTGGCTGAAAGGGTAGACGTAGAAGAAATAATACCTTGACAATAGTTGTGACATGTCTAGGACTTTTTTTTGACAATTAGCTCCTAGAAACCCTGAGCCGGATCAAACGGACCGGACTAGATCTCTTCTGGAAGAGTTTTGAAAAGAGAGAGAGAAAGCGCAAACGCCTGTATATTACCAAAAAGGTGAATTTTTCACCTTTAAAAACATAGAAATAACCTTCATTATATTTTAGAAACTCTATATTAAGGCACTCGTTGAATTCTGGTAAATCTCATAGTTTATTTCGAATATGCTGCTTACGGAGGTACATAGGAGATTCATGACGCGACGGTTGTGATTTCGTATAAGTTGAAATTTTATGATCCAATCTTTTACTGAATTTATCGGAAGGAAATAAATATCTGTGGAGCCCCGATCTCCGATCGTCATCAGTTGTTGCAAATTTCAGGATACGATGGATGAAAGTCAAAACACCACTCAACGACCTCCCCCCCCCTTTTTTTTTTGGTCACATTTTCAGCGCATGAACCAGCGAGCTAATCATTGAAGTTGGTGCACGACGAGGACAAAATAAAAATCCAGCGATTCTTTTGGATACAGAGGATGGTTGTTGTAGACTAAGGTTGAAAATGATGGACTGACCACAGGGTCCTTCGTATAGGTTGCTCCTAGTCAGCCTATTTCTTACCCCCCTATTTCATCACAAAAACTTGCTTCCACCGATAGGAGCTGTCCATTTTCTCTTTGTCTTCTTTGTCCATAGCTTTGTCTATCAATTTCAATAATTAGTCAGCAGATATGACCATTAACTAGTGCAGTGGTGATTCTTCAAAATTGGCAACACTATTTTTCCTCCATTTATATTTATATCAACGACAAAGCGTGAATTATTGATTAATCGATACTTCTCCATTTGAAGCTAAGGTAAAGAATCGCTTATTTAGGTGTTCGTTGCAAACACCCTGTTTATCGATCCTTTTCCATAGGTTTAAATGGCAGATCAATCAATGTATTGTAAAGCACGCCACGTCGTTGATTTGAATATAGGTAAAACAATCGAATTTTGGCGAGACAACATGCCTCACCTAAATCGATATTTTTAACGGAATTAAATGGAGGAAAAACACAGTTGCCAACTTGCAACTTGACCAGCGGAAAACGCGCATCGGCGCCTACAAACCTAAGGGCATACTTCAAGCATTGCGCAATGCGTGAAGTATCCCTGTTAGGTTTGTAGGCGTTAGTGCGCATTTGGCACCGGCAGCAAGCCGATTCACTCTGTTAGGCTCTAATATTTAAAATCGCGAAGTCAGCGTCTTTCAACTCATGATTTTGAAACTTTTGCACACTTTGCATGGATTATCCTCTTTTAAATTGATGAAAAAAAAATATGTATTAAAGGAAAATAAAATGTGGAAAATCAGCTTGCAACTTCGCCAGTGCTCCGTCGAGGTGAGATCCAAAAAGGCGAAATTGGTTCAAGCAGGAAAGTATTGGAAATCTTGATTCTGTTCGGCTCAAGTCAATCTACTTGGAAACGAAAACACACTTCAGGTTCAGTGACGTCTTCCGCGGATTCGGAAAAGAAATGTTGGGATGTATTCAATCACCTACGCACTTTCCACTGTCATCGTTGCGAATTCCAGCTTTTCGTCTCTTGAGAGCACTTATTGACAGATCAAATATCGGGGAAATTTAACACAGAGTCAATCCAGACGTCTCCAGTCGTTCCCACGCTCGCGACAGATGAAAGGAAAATCAATCGCTCGAACTGCTCCGCTGATGAAAAACCGCGTATCAACGTCGCATTTCCTTTGGCAGTTACGCGCTCGTATCCAAGCGTGGCAGCTTGGATTTCAATTCCAACTCGTCCGTCGCACAATGGAGTGAATCAATAAGAGAGGCTGGTTATGATTGGAAAACTTTAAAAGCACA